CGTAATCGCAAGGTTACTGAACATCAAACCGTGCAAAAGTAACATCGTTCAGCTTAGTGCACAGCGCAAGCAGTGCTGCACAAGACCTCGGCGTATGGAAAGCCACGAAATATGGATTTGTAAGTACGATAATAATCCCGAAAAGGTTTGTGCATATCGACCTTCCCAAACCCTGAACAAACGTCGGCTTAGAGAGTGAAAATTACTCAAAATTTGAAGTTTCAACCATTCCACCATTCTGCTCAGGTATGTTGCGATGCGTACATCGGGGCCCCATGCAAAATATTTTTAAAAAAATGAAGACTATTCATTTACAGGTAGTAAGAGTGCGCAATCGTGAAGCCACCGCTTTAACATCTCGCCTCCCGTTTCCAAAAGTCCAGCATTTGGAAAAACGCAGTTCCCATCATGCGAACAAGTGTGCTCCAGCGCTGTTCTTGACTTCAGCGCGGCTGTATGCGCTTGGCAAATCGTTACGTACTAATCCTCCTCGTCACAGCAAGTGTTCAGAGCCGGAAGAGAAGGAGTCGTACCGTGACCGCTCCTCGGGTAGAACTCATACCGACACGGCCATTTCATGCCTAACAATGCCTGCCTACAATCCAAGCTAAGCAGGCTACTATCGGATACCCTCAGGTTGGAAACGTGACCTATATTCAGCCCTTTGAAACGAAAATCTCTCGATCTTCTCTTGAATGGAAAAACTAAAAAGGCATATTGCCAGGCACACATTGCTACATAAGGGAAAATGGGCGGAGATTGCGAGCCCAGGTCCCGCCCACTTCGTCTAACGTTCTGCCTTAGGGCGAGAATGGGGTTATACGGCATTCTTGCTTCTGATCCACGCCTCGCTCCAAATCTTCCAGGTACACTGTGTGGAGGAAGATCGAGAAAGCAGATTCGGCATCCAGTGGTTTGACGAGCCGCACATATGTATCTCAAGCTGGGTTCACATAGACATCTACAATCCTTTTACAGAACTGAAGGCTCCCGCTCCAAAGCACAGCTTCGTGGAAGATTGTCCTCCAGGTGGCACCTCCTTTGTGTAGCTCCATTATTTTAGCCTGGGAGCTCTCGTACTCGAACCGG